GATCATCAGATATTGTCCAAGATTGACCTTCAGGGTGGATATAGTTCACTAGCAGCCTCGTGCTGATGACCTAGTTGATGTCATCATTTACCCAGAATGCTTTGCGTGTAAATAAAATGGCTCCGTCCGTGTTAAAATATATTTTAAAAAATTTACAAAACTAAACAGCCTACAGTATTTTTACAGTCTTTATTTTACAGTTAAAATAAATGTTTATCAAATAAAGTTTAATGTTACAACTAATCATGGATCCCTTTAAGGAAGTCCAGATGATCGTGATGGCTCTAAAGATAATCATAGCAGATATTCCCGCCGTGGGTGGTGAGTTAAGAGTGATCTAGTCGGCTCGGAAGGACGTCAGGACCGCTCCGATCTCAAATCAGGGATATTCAAAATGTTTGATTTTTTGGCCCGATATCGCAATGTGTGTAGTGTTCACCTGAGCTCTCAGCCTGTTGAATGAGACATGTAGCCAATCAGAAAGCGAGGTGACGTAAACACGGAGGGGGTTCCAAAATACAGAAGACAAAATACTATCATGACTCACTAGAAAGTCTGCTGGATGTTAAAAGTCCTATGGAATTGATTTTCCTCTGGTAAAAATAGTCCACAAACGATCAACATTGTGTCTTCTTTGTTACAGAYGTTTATTTACTCTGAWCTCACGTCTCTCTGGAGGTCAGGTGAGATTTTTCCTCGGACATCTGAATTCTCGCGAGATTTCGGGAAGTCTCGCGTGATTTAATATCTGACATCTGAAACATGAATGAAATATCTTTTCGTGTGTGGTGTGTTGTCTCTTGCCATGTGGCTGTACACCACACACTGTAGGACCAAACCTGGTACATCCATGAATTTTTATCCTCATGTGTGGGCTCTCTCAGTCTTTGAAAATCGGCCGAGTGGTTTAAAATCTTGTAGTGTGACTCAGCCTTAAGCGGCAAGGCTGAAAACCAACACTGAATGCTTGTGACCTTTGATCCTTTAGGAGGCACTTCGTTAAAAACCAACATCATTTTGTAACAGATATAACTTCTGTTAAGGATTTGCAAATCATCGTATTCTGTTTTTTTTAATTTTATTTATGTTTTACACAAAATCATTACAACTAGGGTTGTATTTAATGTCTAAAAAAGTGGATTTTGCATGATGTGTCCCCTTTAAAACAACTCCACCCCCCCAGGTAGCAGGGATGAATACATGATGGCCTGTTGCAGCAGGCTGTACAGCCCCAGCCCTGGGGACCGTTAGGTGACAGTTTCTCTTTCTAAGCCTTAGAATTCTCATTATCACTGAGCAACGGCAGCACAAATCATTTGGCTCCAAATAAAACCTCACTTTCTCTCTGCATCCTAATGGCTTTCAGTCAGCAGGTGGCGGCTGCTATGAGCAGAGATATTTCGTCCCTGAGCCGCTCATCGATCCCAGTCTGGATCACATCATTTCAGGTCAGACTGAGCCACGTTTGTCCGTGTATACATTGTTAAAGAAGTGCTGTGTAAGGTATTGACTCGTGGAGGATGAGACGTGAAGAGCTGAAGGTGTACRGCAAGAGCAGAAAAGGTGAGGTCCTTTGTAAAGTTTAGGCTGTGTGGGAAAGGTCCTGAGGGCCGCTGCACCGAGGAAAAGTTGGCATATAAGTAAAAAATAGTAAATGACAGCATATGGGTGTATTTTAAAGGCAGGTTTGTGTGTGGAACTAGCTTAACTAAAAARTGATTTTGGTGCCATTTTTTGTACATAAGGCGGATTTACATTCTGCAAAGCATTGCAAGTTTCCTGTTAGGAAGTACTTTTTTTGAATCAAAATGATGCTGACTAGGACTTTCAGGCTGCAAGCAAATAAAGCTCACCATGAATAGCATTTTCATTGTGCTGTTTTGTCACTGATTTATTTTTTAGACTGTTAGAGAATGTCGCCATCAGAGGCCCTGGCATGTTTTAGAAGTCCTTTTACAACCAAAGAAGATCCAGATTTGCCGACTGCATGGCCTTTCGACTCACCTGCGGTGGGGGAAGACCGCCTGCGCCGAGCGGACAGTCGGGTAACATGATGGTCCTTTTCGGAGTGCTGCACTGACAGGAAGGGGAGGGGTTGGACATGCTCCAGTTCCCGTTGAGGAAGATGTCAAGAACCGACTGATCCACGGCGGGAGTGAACCAATTAGACCCGCCAGAGGAGCATGGTAACTTTCTGCAGGAAAACGACGAGAAATTAGCTTTTTCTCAGTAAGAACTGACTTTTACAAGCAAAATTTATGACTGTAATAATAATAAAACATCCTCATATAAAAAATAATCATAAAAACATCCTTTGAGGTCACATTTAACACATTCCTGCATTGTTAATATCAAACGTGGGCTTTGTGTTTGAAAAACAATAAACTTTTTGAGGTCTTTGGGGTTGTTTCTGGGCTTTATTGGAGTCAGTTTTCCAGTCTGGGGGTCACAGCACCAAGTGCTCCGAGGACCACTGGGACTACTGAGACTTTTCCTCACCAGATGTTTCAGCCGTTAGGATTTCTCAAGCTTCTCTTATTCCTTCTTAGTTGCTTGGGATCACTACATCTACCGCTGCCTTCTTCTGTAGCCTGCTGTTGCCACTGTAATATCTGGTTGGTTAGTCATTACCTGGTTCTTAGTCTGGATCTTAGTTCCACCCTTTGTGGTGACTGTGGGAGCTCCAGTTCGTACTCATACTAGAATGTTCCTGTAGACTATTACAACCACTTTCTATGCTATTCCATGTATGCTTTAGCTGCCTGCCAGGCTTTTAGTCATCGCCGTCTTCTGTCTTCAACTCAAGGTTCAGTATGTGATAAAATGACCCGTTTGGTTTCTTTGTCTGCTTGTGTGGCCCACTGCACAGCACTCTGGCCAATTTTACAGATAAATCATCAAAATAAAAGTATATTAGGCTACCAAGTGTCTGTTTTTTGCCTAGCTGTACAGGAGTTTACACGCAGAGGTTGTTTTGACGTCCATCATAGAGAGTGGGCCATCTTCTGAAGAGCGTGATGTCACATGCAATGGGTCAATACTCCTGCTCACTCTTTTTAGTGYACGGAAATTGTATATTAGAAATGTTTCTGTTACGTTATGTTGCTACATTCAATAAAACTTATTTTTTAAAAAAGTATTTTAGTTAGGGTTAATAGATTGGTCAATAATTCAACACTTTATACTCTAAAATTCTTCAGTTTGAATAGTCAAGATTTTGTGAACGCAAATCAAAAGTTTGTTTATTGATAGTTTTATCCTTCTTGACCAGTTTTTTTTTTACAAATTATACCAATTTTTTTTTAAAGTGGGCCTATTATGGGGGTCTTAGCACAAGTTAGGATCCATCTGTGGGCTATACAAAACATGTTCATTTGATTTAATTCACAAAGATAATCTCTAATAAAGAAATTTCATCTTTTCAGTTCTTCCTGTTCTTCAGCTCTCTCCAGAACGTGCTGTGTGCAGAAGCTGCTTTTGAAACCCCCCTCCCCTATCCCCTCTATCTGTTTGTTTACTTTAGCTCCGCCCCCCGACATGGTAGAAGTTTCCAACGTGAAATTATTTTCACAAACTACAGTTTTCTTTGGCAATATTGTTAGAACTGTCATCAAAGACAAAAATTAAAATTAATCCAGGCATCTCTGTTCTCTGTGGCTGCTGTAAAAACAGAACAATTATCATCTTTTGAGGAAGTGGGCGAAGCTTCACCTCAGGTTCCCTCGTGAGGAGCAGGACTCTGGTTTAGGTTGCTAGGTGACTGTTATTGTGACGTCAGAATAACGTGCTTTGAGAAATACCATGTTTCAAGATACCTAAAAAATACATGTAATTACAGCTAAAAAACAGCTGGGTGCATTTTTTTGGTGTTTGGACTGCTTCTSTAAGCAGTAAAGACCCAAAAATAAGTTTAAAAACATGAAAAAAGTGAGTTTTGCATAATAGGCCCACTTTAAAAGAAACACAAGGCTGGTTAGTTGGGATTATTTCAGTATATCTTTCTTGTAAAGCCCAGAATACTTACGGTATCGGATCTCCGTTCATGCAACGTGTCCCAAAACCAGGGTTGTTCACCAATGTTTCCACCACCTTGGACACCTCTACATTCTCTTTCATGTCATTGCTGTAAACATTTAAAATCAGTATTTATATTATAGTTATATTTCCACAGGATATTACAATATCCAAAAATTTGCTCCAAAACATCTATCACAAGCCGCCTGGTCATTCAGGGATCAGCATTCAACCTGATGTATTATAACCGTAACCTCACTATGAAATAATTTTCATAAAAGCATTACCTGGAATAATGTTAGCAATAAATAATATATACAGTATATTAATGTCAAGTTTATATTTAAACTCTCAAACAGTCGTCTCATTTGCATAACTTCCACTGCTCTTTACACGAGCATCATGTCAGAGTTAAAGCAGCGTTTTTCCAAAAAAAAAAAACATCATGATGGCGTGGAGCCAGCACTGGTCACAGTTCAGTCAACCCTTTTGGATTGATACAGCTTTCATCTCATTGAGGCTCGTCTCCATGAAGGTCACACGGCCATTTTCCCGGCCACCAATGAGAGCACCCGGAGTGGCCCGCTTGTAAAAAATGGATTATGTGCAGCCATCTGTTTTGCAATTAACAATGGCTGGGTTGCCGTGTTATTTAGGATAATAAAACTATCGGGTGGCTCTGAAATGAAGACTTGTGCAGATAAACGGAAAAACGGTGGAACTAATGAATGGCTCGCAGAAGGAAGAGGTGAGAATGTATTGGAAGAAAGTCAAATGAAGGCTAAAAAAGGTGTGAGAATACAAAACCCGTTTTTCTATTAGCTTCATGCCATCAAAAACCCAAGGATGGACGATAATGTTTTATTCTGCTGGGCACCAAAATATCCTACAAAACACTTGTCAAAACTTAATGAAATTTGCAGAAAACATAAATTGATGAACGTCTAGAACTGACTATTTTCTGGAAAGAGCTCAATTATAAATTTCTTTCAGTTTAATTCAACAGGGTCACCACAGTCCAGTGATCATAAAAAATGCAAAATTGTCTATATTTCAGTTTAACAAATATTAGGCTAAATTTGATGTGATTGTAGCTAAGAATCATTCACAGGTGCATAAACCTTTAGTATTAACTGCTGATACTTGTGTCTGTTAGCAAAATATCACATGAAYCACTAGAAAGTTTTAAATAAGTAGTACCCAACCTGTGTGTTCGGGCGGGTGTTCCCTACCATGTGGGGACCATTTTTTGGTACACACCTACTTATGGGGACCAACTGATACTTATGGAGAACCAAGCTTAGTTCGCATGGGGAAGAAATTCCTTTGGTGGGTCAGGGGCTAGGTTCATGACTAAGGTGCAGATTGAATTTAGGTTAGATTTAGGGTCAGGGTTAGAAATTCATCCATCTAATGTTTTGTTTAATCAGTTGAAATTACTGAAGTTTTATGATCCGGTTGATTGTAAAATTCTGTTGATGATGTATAAAGCTCATAACAATGCATTACCCTCTGCAATACAAGTTTATTTTACCAAGAAGATAAGTGTTTATAACTTGAAAGGATTCGAGATGTTTGTTTTACCAAAAATTAGAACAAGCTTGAAAGAGAGATGTACTTCAGTTCAGGGTATCAAATTGTGAAACAGTTTAGCGAAGGACTTCAAAACTACTGTCACAAGTCATTCATTTGGACGAAGGATCAAAACTTTGTTTTTGAAAAGTTATGGCCAGTCTATGTTTGGATAATTTACTTTTGTTTTTTTTTTTTCTTGGCTGTTCATTTGAATTACAAATGGTAGTTTTTTATGAATATTTTGTTATTTTTATGTAAGTATTTTGATGTATGTGTATGTGTGTATGTGTATATAT